TTATTTCATGTTTAGATATCGAGGTCATGATCTATATAGGTTTTAAGCATATAAAAAAATCGTAAGGACACAAAAAATTACTTTTTAAGAAAAAAGTCAATTCAAAAATCACGTTTTTTTTGTTTATTTTCGATTTTTCCATGCTATAATATTGTCGGAGGTATTTTTAACCAACACCATCGAAAAGATCATCGTTAAAAGTATAGAAACACTGGTTATCGAATATTTCTTCCTCGCACTCATTACGTGGCAAGGGTTCAAATGGAAATGTGTTCTCTGAGCATTTATGGGTTAATGTGACTTGGTATACACCATATGAATATCGTTTTATATTACTTTTAAGACAATTACGACAAATATTAACAATTTAAGAAAAAAACCTTTCAAAAAAACAATTTCGTAGACCTGTGTAATTGATGTGTAACAGAAAGAAATGCAGAGAAGCAGAATTTGAGTATGTTGCCGGCATCGGACTTTAAACAAAATTCAACAACATAGGAATGGTCTTTTGCGAACGTCAACTACCTCTCACCGCTGTCCCGCTTAGATACGATTATTCGGTTCTCTTTTCACTTTTTTTGTACTACTGATGAAGGATGTGTTCAAAACGCATCAAATGACTACAGTTCTAAGTGGAAAAAAGATAAAAGATAAGTCCATTCTCACAGATAGTTTATTGCCAATTTTGATCATCCCAATTATATTATAGTATTTTACGAAAAAATGTACCCGGCACCTCCACCCNTTTATTTCCTGCTATTTCCAATATTAAAAGCGACTCGATCTTGTTCTAATAAGAATAAGAATTTATTTTGTTATCATTTCAAGCTTTCTAGTAATAAGCCTCTTTATTTTTATGGTTCCCTAATTAGGTGAAAAATGGAAACTGTTTAACTCTATCTCATATAGCTGTTTTTATTGGAAACTTAGTTTCTTATATAAATTGATCTAATTTCGCAGTACAGGCATATATCAGTATATTCTTTCTACATTTATGTTTTAATTGAAGCTGAAGACTTATTAGGAGTGGAAGATTTTATTACTATCTTGACTAACAGATCATTATCATACAGCAACGTAATTTTAGTCCAAATGATTTCTTCAGAGAAAATAAAACGATTTAATGAAAATCACTTAGAAATTTAAAATATGGCATAACAGTAGATTAAGTTGACCGTTATTATTGTGGTTCCTTATTCTGTTCTTTTGTAGGTTCACAGAATAAACCACGAAAACCTCCTCTCGAAGTGGCGATGGCCCATTCGGAAGAGTTAATCCGATTGATGTCCAGTTCCGGGCTGGGATCATGTGCCTTCGCCTCTGTATCCGATCTCATGGAACATTGACTACCGTCGAAGCTCCCTAGAAATATTTCAAGTGCGCCCATGACTGTTCCACTACCCCTACAACTACAACCGCCGCCGTCGCTCCTACTGCTACCACCAAAACGACGAAAACGTCATCATCAATCGATATGCAACCAGTGCCACCACTTGTTGCTCTGTTGTCAGCGATGATGCGGGAGACGACACGCCCCTATCATGCGTTCGCGGTACGTGTGAAAGTTTTTTTTTTTAATAATAATATATAATTGTCAAAAGAACATTATAATAGAAGAAATTATACTTCATTAAAAATAATAATAATAATAACGATGATGATTATGATAATGATGTGTTCGTAGTTTGTTTGTCTTTGCGAAAAATAGGGTTTCTGTTGCTTTACGATGAAAGAAAAAATATTGAACAGCTCGAATGATTGTTATAATTCTCAAGCAATTTTTTTTTTCTTCATTTATTTGAATGCCATTTAACATATCATTTCATTTTAGTAACTAAAAATAAATATAATGCAGTTCTAGTTCATCAAATTAGGTTTGAACCGTAATTATTACTTTGTTTTTTCGTTGTAACGTAGGTACTGTTTAAAAAACGGAGGAGGTTTGCATTTTAACTGCAGATAATAATAGAAAATAAACTTTTATTAAACTAATTTCTAATTCCACATAGCTATCATAATTTTTTCTTGATATTTATTTATTTAATTTAACTTTACAGTATACAGACTCGATACAATAAATCAGTAAATAGAAAGTTAAATAACACATTGGTTTTTAATCATATCACATTAAATGATACTAAATAGGTTAAAAAGTAGTAATCTGATGCGTATTCAATCAGTCTTCGGGCTGAACATTTTATGATGAAGATGAAACAATGGATATTAACGTTGAAAAGTTGGTGTAACCGTTGTGTCTGACATTGCCCATAGCAATGTGATGAATTTTTGACTTCTTGTCTTTCTTGTCGAATGTTTTGTTGGTTCGATGGCTGACTGACTTTGACTCTCTTGGCCAAAAACCGTTGTGTTGATGGATTCTTTCATTTCAATTGTCTCACTTTTGGACTAAAATTTTCATAAGTGAATTTACGTCGGCCTTCAATCTTCAGGTCTGTTTTTGGCATTTTATTTAATTTATCATCAAATGCCCACCAAAGGGCATTGTTTTAATAGATTTAGTATCATTTGATGTATGATACGATTAAACCAATAAGTTATTCATCTTTGAAATACTATCTTTCACCCTCTGTATTTTTTTAAATTTATGTTTCAATGAAAACTTCACATATTTATCAGTACTGGCAAATTTTATTATCTCTGGTGATATCGTTTCGACCAAAAGATCATCATACAGTAACGTAACTCTAGTCCAAACGATCTAAAAATCAACGAAAGTGTATTTCTTTNACCCCAAAATTCTTTTTAATTTTTGTTTCAATTTGAGTACGTCTACTATAGTTAATAATTTAATAGTCATAAATGTTACTTTTATTATAGTGTATATAAGTACCTCTTAAAATTAACGTATTTTATTTTTCTAATTAACTGCAGTAGTAATCTGTAAATGAATTGCCTAATAGTTCGGTCGTTCACCGCTAAGTAACACAATTTTTTAAAAATGCTCTAAATTGCAACATCCTTGCCCGTGAATGATTGGGTCAAGGACCAGAGTCGACCAGTTGAGCGGTGTAACATGCGGGATGCGGTTCGTTCGTGTGCGGTTCGCGAGGTGTTTAAATTTCTTTATCAAATTTTACCTTTTTATGGGTACTATATAAGTAAATTGGTCGGTGTGCTATCAAACGTTACATTGATGATATATATATATACATTAGTAAATCTGATAAATATTTAGGAACGAATAAACCGATTTTTGTAAACAGCCCTTCTACAATAATTATCTGCGAACGTGCATCATTATTTAGTAGGGTAAGAACTTTATTTTCATAAGAATTGAGTCGATCGAACTCTTGACTAGTTTGTCTCAAAGAAATATTACGAAAAAGTGTAATTTTTTATCACGAATAAATTATATAAAAAGGTGAAATCTTAATACGTTTTTTTATTGGATTGTGTATAAAAGATAGAATTGAAAATGCTTATTCTACTATGTTCCAAATTTTCGTGAACAAAATTTGCAAAAACTTTTTCAAAAAGCAAAATTCTACTTTAAAAATATGGACAACATTATTTGAAATATTGGAGCATTTCTAGAATTTCAATTGTAAAATGATAACATCTTTTGAAACACGCATAGTTATTTTTCTAGTGTTGTAATTTTGAAAAGAATGTGGTAGGAGGATCGTTTTAAATCGTTACGAAATGTCTGTAGGATGTGTTAAAAAAGATATAAGTAGCTGGAAAAAGAGAAAAATAATTTGGTAATCTTGATCTAATGATATGTGTGGCTATTTATAGTAATGTTAAAGATTGCACATTGGCCTGTTCTTGAATTTAATATGTGAAAGTTCTTAAAAAAGCACTTGGTAAAAAGTATTTATTCTTATACATATATCAATTGATGTCAAAGTACCTGCTTGAAATGTAATAAGGATGATTTTATTCGTCTCTATTTATTTGATGAATAGGGTATAACTATTGGTCTTAAAACATGGATAAATTTTCGTAATTACTTTTATTATAGAGTAAATTAAAAATAAAATCTTAAATTGCTATAATATTAACTTCAAATAATGCTTGAATAGTGATACAATTTTGGATTGGTCTGGAATGAAAAATTACAAGTTGTGACATGTCGAGGCTAAAACTAACGAAAGATATCAATTCCAAATCCTTAATTTATTAAGAAGGATCTGTGATCATTCTAATTTTGAAGGGGCGCTTGAAATATGTTACTGTAAATTTACTAAATATTTTTTTCTATGTAGTTGGTCGTGTCCATATTAAGTACCTACATGATTTTTTTTTTATTGTAATACTAATAATGAATAGTATTAATTACGGTATGTTCGTAGTTGTACGCTAAAAATTATTGAAAAAAGATGTGGGGAATTTACAAGTGTATTTATTTTTTATATATATAACGTTCGTACAATTATTTACTTGTAAAATTATCGATGGCTTGTACCTCCTACGTTTCGTTATAAAAATAACGACAATTTGATACCTTTACGAACAAGTTATAATGAACGTCATTTTGTAGATAGGTATAAAAGCGTCTCATTAATTTCATTGTAATTTTTGTACATAAGCAATAAAGGATTATTGATAAAATATAGTTATTTACTGCTCAATGTATATTTATACATTTTGTTAACTGGAAAACTCATAAAAAAAGTTTGATACGTAAATGCAATTTATAAATAAAAATAAATTAACTAGTGTGAAAGAGATGCGAAAAACTTTATTATTATTTCCATGCTGATTTTCTGGATCTTTTGGCGATCGCGTTACAACTTTTAACCCTTCACTGGGTGACAAGTGGTGCTCATCGAAGATACCCTCTCCCCTTATCACAAACATTTGGGAGTGTAGGTGGATAAACACTCAGGTCATCTCACCATGGACCGCTTTTTGTTATATATTTATTACACTATTGTATGTAGAACATTTATACAAGAAGCTGATAAATAATGTTATTTTTCTTTCTTTATTTTTATAGATAAGTAGGTATATATTTATATTTGCAGATAAATACAGTGATTCATATATAACAAATGAACATTGATTAAGTACAGTAGGGTAACGAATAACAATAAAGAAAAGTGTAAGATAAAAAATCTAATTAATAAACTTTTACGAATGTTTCTTTATCGACAATTTTGTACCTGTCTTCTCGGAAGGTCATAAGGTCAGTATGTAATCTCTTAACGCTTTCGTCCCTTAATTTAACTATTACGGGATCGATAGGAATAAGATTTGCCATCGTTGCTAGGTCATTGTAATAGGAACGTTGTCCTGGTCCCATCATATGGGCCTGACGTTTATTGTACCCCTTTTCCCATCTTAATTGCATGTCTTTTTCAGTGTCTTCACGCATTTCTTCTTCTGATGGTAACTTTAGGTCCCCATCAAGATACTTAACGTAGAAACGAGCCTAAAGAAATAGGTTTTGATTTATATTAAGTCAGGAATATTTATACCTTATGTAGCTTAGACGTCGTTCGATCTAGTTGAACGCACCCCAAAATTCTTTTTAATTTTTGTTTCAATTTGAGTACGTCTACTATAGTTAATAATTTAATAGTCATAAATGTTACTTTTATTATAGTGTATATAAGTACCTCTTAAAATTAACGTATTTTATTTTTCTAATTAACTGCAGTAGTAATCTGTAAATGAATTGCCTAATAGTTCGGTCGTTCACCGCTAAGTAACACAATTTTTTAAAAATGCTCTAAATTGCAACATCCTTGCCCGTGAATGATTGGGTCAAGGACCAGAGTCGACCAGTTGAGCGGTGTAACATGCGGGATGCGGTTCGTTCGTGTGCGGTTCGCGAGGTGTTTAAATTTCTTTATCAAATTTTACCTTTTTATGGGTACTATATAAGTAAATTGGTCGGTGTGCTATCAAACGTTACATTGATGTGACAAGACACCTGTGGAGCATACATAGATACGTCCATTTTTTATGTAAGTGTTCTAGCGTAACAGGTGGTGCCATATTGCTTGTTTAAGTATCTCATAACTTTTTCTTTTTGCTTTTATTTAATGTAAAGTTTAATGTAAGACCTCATATTGTAATGTAAACAGTTCAATCGAATCATAATAAGTACTTTAAATAGCATGATAATCAATAGCAGTTTTTTAATTACATTATTGCATTGTATTGTACCTACCTGTATTAAATAAGCCGCCATATTTAATTTTTATATGACGTTATATCATCGTTTGCCATTATCAATTAAAATATTATTTATTAATAACAATTTGTCTAGGGCATTTGAACATTTATAGGCTAGTATCCAGTTAATAAAAAGATTTAATTTAACACAAACCGGAAACGTACTTTTATAATTATGAAGTGCAATATACATTTGTACGAGATGTGTTTTTATGAAACCACAGAGGTAATATGAAGAACGGTGTGTACTATTTACTGATTTTTTATTAAATTAGATTTTCCTCTTTTAACCCATTTTGTATTTTGTGACGGTGATTACCTGTTTCATTATTATTAATGATAAGATTCGTAAAAGTACGGTATTTTATTTTAGAATTAGATTTAAAACCGAAGTGTTGTACATTTTTAGATGGTGTGTTTAAATATTTTTGTATTATTAGCGGAGGTTTCCAATAAGTTGCATAAGGCACAACCGGTAGATGAATAAAATTGCAATGTAGCTGTTAATCTTCGTTGGGAAGTAGCCCACAGTTTAAATTTTAAAAAAAAAATCTGAAAATACATTTAAGATTATAATAAAGCATCTTACCTGTAAATCGAACATTTGAAAAGCGCACACATTAAAAGGTATTCCAATAAAGCACATGGTTGGTTTCATCATATGAATCATGTGTTTGTAAAGTGGTTGAATGTGGTTGTCATCTACAGTTATCCCGCAGGATTTGTTAAGAAAGGGAAAACTGTATTCATACCCTGCAATATAAATACAAATATTATACCTTATTATTATGCCCATGTCCATAGACCATATGGTTCTATTTTAGCCACTTTTTGACCCTCNCAATTTTGATCATCCCAATTATATTATAGTATTTTACGAAAAAATGTACCCGGCACCTCCACCCATTAAACATTCACTTTTAATAAATTTATTTCTGCTGGGATTTTATTTTTACAAATTCGGATCCAAATTGTAATTTTTATTATTTTCGCTTACGAAGCAACGGGCTGGTGGAATAAATTGTAAATACCGCTTTAATTTTTAAGTAAATTTTCTTTTATCATTTTCTCCGTGAATTACAATTTAAAACACGTAAACCGACAATTTTTCTCTTGTATGTTACGTATTTTCCTCATTCCTGCAACTTACGGGTAAATGATGAAATAAATGTGTACCTTTTCAGCCACATCCGATATTTTTAACGTGAGTTCTAACCCAGAAGGTCCTGCTCCGATTACAAGGACATTATTGCCCTTAAAAGGATCCGGAGAACGGTAGTGGTGACTGTGAAGTTGCCTTCCTTTAAACTTGTTCTGGCCCGGTAATTTCGGATAGATTGGTTGATTATAATGACCATTGCATATCATAACTGCATCAAAAATGCTCGTAACTTCTTCTTTGGTCGGTTTATTTATCGCGGTTATCTTCCATTTTCCATTATCCAAAGGACTTATATCGGTCACGTGATGGCTAAACTATACATAAAGTATGCAAGTTATTTACTGACTAAATGATAGATTGATATAGTTGGGACGGTCAAAATTGGCACAGTCCGCAATAAAACTGTCGCATTAACTTTCTTATTTCAACTTATTAACTAGACTAGAGCGGTTGCTGACAAATCGTAAACATAGAAAAGAGATGTCAGCTAGAAATTGCAGCGGACACTAATAGCACAGGTCTGCGATAAATTTGTATAAATTTATCGTAAGCATGCAAATGTTGGTCTATATTTTGCAAATATAAAATTTATTTGTTTTTTCACAAAATTCATTTTATAGCTTATATTAATTTATATTTAATACTCTCTGACTGAGCATTATATTGTCTTTTACTTTATGTTAGATAGTCTGAAAGTAACTATAGTCGTTTATACCGCCTGAAAAAGAAATAGTTTATAACGCGTCATTATTGAGAGAGAATATTAACGTGTAATAAAAGATTGTGTTTCATTTATCTTTAACTATGGCTTCTGTAAAAACAATTCAAATGTATTTTTTTACATTTGCTGACAATATACAATAGTTAAGTAAAGATTGAATATAACACACTTTGTAAAAAATGCTTATTAAGTTTACTTCAGAATGAAGTTGTCACCAAGATAAACACTGGGTTACGATAAAATATGGCGGTTTTGTGTTGAAGTGGTAAGACAGTGGACTTATGGTAAATCAAAATCATTATTATTCGGTATTTCTATGTTCAAATTAAAATGCAATTGGAAGTCGGAGTGAAAAATGTCATCAATACGAGTTTGAAAGAAGAAGTATTGCTTCCACCACTTTACATTAAACATGGTTTGATCAAACAGTTTGTAAAGGCATTTCGACTTGACCAACGGTGATTGTTTCATGTTTAGATATCGAGGTCATGATCTACATAGGTTTTAAGCATATAAAAAAATCGTAAGGACATAAAAAATTACTTTTTAAGAAAAAAGTCAATTCAAAAATCACGTTTTTTTTGTTTATTTTCGATTTTTCCATGCTATAATATTGTCGGAGGTATTTTTAACCAACACCATCGAAAAGATCATCGTTAAAAGTATAGAAACACTGGTTATCGAATATTTCTTCCTCGCACTCATTACGTGGCAAGGGTTCAAATGGAAATGTGTTCTCTGAGCATTTATGGGTTAATGTGACTTGGTATACACCATATGAATATCGTTTTATATTACTTTTAAGACAATTACGACAAATATTAACAATTTAAGAAAAAAACCTTTCAAAAAAACAATTTCGTAGACCTGTGTAATTGATGTGTAACAGAAAGAAATGCAGAGAAGCAGAATTTGAGTATGTTGCCGGCATCGGACTTTAAACAAAATTCAACAACATAGGAATGGTCTTTTGCGAACGTCAACTACCTCTCACCGCTGTCCCGCTTAGATACGATTATTCGGTTCTCTTTTCACTTTTTTTGTACTACTGATGAAGGATGTGTTCAAAACGCATCAAATGACTACAGTTCTAAGTGGAAAAAAGATAAAAGATAAGTCCATTCTCACAGATAGTTTATTGCCAATTTTGATCATCCCAATTATATTATAGTATTTTACGAAAAAATGTACCCGGCACCTCCACCCATTAAACATTCACTTTTAATAAATTTATTTCGGTGTCTTCGTTAAAACATTGTATATAATTGCATTTAGTAATTATCCAATTGATTAGATAAAACGATTTACTCTAATGAATAATTGATATTATTTTCAGTTGCTAGGTATTAATTGATTACCTTAATCAGTTTTCGTATGTCGAAGTGATCGGCGTAAAGGTTTAGGAAGTGTAAAATTTCGGCTTGCGATAAGTACGACTTTTGTTGCTCCGGTATGGGAAAATCGGGAAATCCCATAACCTCTTTGGGTAGATTCGTTCTAAAACAAAAAATTTTTTATCAGTAATACTTATTGTGCATGGTTCAACTAAACACTACAGATTTTTACATATTTACGTTAGTAAAACACAAAAAGAAAATAGAATAATTGACATCGCCTCTAATACTTTTTGGTTTTTCAATTTATAAAAACAAATTATTTTTCATTTAACTAACTTACACAAAGGCAAACAGTATGTTTTACCTTGAACGTTTATGAAAAAATGGAACGACTTTGTTTATAGTAAACATTTTTTATCATTATTTTGTTTTGAGTTGAACAGAAATTTCCGAAACTTGTTACTTAATCATAGCAGTATTTATGGCTTTCCGAATTATCTACGTAAATTATTATTTTAAATTCTTTAACCTACAACTAGAAATAAGGACATTAAATGGCATGACAATTTGTTAAATACCAAATCCACTAATTTGTCGGAAAAATACTGGCACTACACAGCGTAGATGGCATAGAAAAATGCTATAATCGCTATGCTTTAATTTGTCGTTGAAAAATGGTACGGTTACCTGTTTTGTCATTGATCTACCTTGCAATTGTCCATAGAAAAACGACTGGAGAGCCGCCAAGCCTCCAAGGCCGCCAAGACTCTCAAGGTAGCAAAAATACAGCAAAGATCATAATTGGTCAGTATTTTTCTACGATATTTCTATTTCGAGATACGCTTTGTGTAATCCAAGCTTGACGTGCCTCCAATTGTTTTTCGCTGATTAAATCGAGGATGGACTCCGACAAAATGGGTAAAAGAAGCGACAAATTATATCGTTTTTCGCTTTATATTTTAAAAATTTTAGACAACAATTAAATGTTCGACAATACTGTAAATTTTACCCGTAAAATTGTTGTTTTTGAGATAACCTTCTACCGTAGTTTACTTGGTCAAAGACAACTTATAATAATAGGTGATTTGGACAAAATGTTTTTTAAGTAATTGATAAAATATTTAACACATGTTGTAAATGTATTTTCGTTGAAATCGTTATCCAGTAAGGAATTTTTTGTAGATTTTATTGCTTAACACAATATGTCGTTAACTAATTCATTAATATTATTGCCAGACGCAAAATATGAATAAACACTGATAAATTTAATGGTCATGATCTTCCTAATTTGTTATGTATCTTGATAAGAACGTAAAAACTTAATTGTGCAAAATTGTAATTAAAAATTCGTAGCTTTTGTTTCGAATTATAGTAGATAGATTTAGAAAAGGTTCAGCCTCTTATAATTGATTGAACTCCAGTTTTACTGAAATAGTACTTGGTTTAATAAAAATTAATGTAGAAGAACAAAACAGTGTCTATATAATTCTATTAATTTTTGTCTCCAATAGGGGTATTGTCTGTTTTGGAATTGATACTTTGTATTTTAATGAATTCGATTGAAGAAATTGAGATTAAGCTTTCGAAACTGTTATAATTGATAATATTATAATAAGTTAATATAAAAATATAAAAAGTAACGTAACGTTTGGCATCGCAGTCAAATTTGTAATTTTTATTCCCTATTTTTACTTTTACCATTCGAATCATCTGTAACAGTGAAAGTACAATATTTATAATTACTCAAAAGATATATTTTTTACTTACTGTACGAGATATAATTTTTATTATATTTTATTTAAATGTTTAATTAGGTAGGTACTATATAAGGAATATAATCGGTTCAAAGTTAAAGTGGTAGGTACCCCGTGCTCTATGTATATATGTTTGATTGTTTCTTTAAAAATTCCCATCATAATGTTAATTAATAGTCTTTATGTGAATGTGATGTGACAAAATGGATAAATGTGACCAAAATCACAGATAGCTAGCGTAATCTTTCTGCCCCTAAATGAATATAAACCCCTTTGAAGTTAGCATGATATAAGCCATAGGATAATAATTAGCCGTAAATAAGTCGTGAAAGCCAAAAATTAGCCGCGACCCAGAAAACCCGAAAACCAGATTTTATGCAAACTTCAAATGATGAAAAATTGTAAAATTGTCGAGGAAAATCCTAGACAGCGAGAACCGGTGTCATAATTAGTCACCAGTTATGTAGAGTAATAACCAGGGGGTTGAAATTCATTACAGCCCGAAAAAACCACTACTAAATCGGGCTTGAAACTTACTGTGAATATTTCGCAAATTAGCAGTAAAAACCAAAAAATTTGCATACTAACATAAAATAGGGAAACAAAGAAATTGTAAAAGCACTTAGGAAAAGCGTGAACACTTCGAACCGAGTTCATGATCAGCCGCTATTACATGGCTGATGATGTACACTACCAGCCAGGGAATTTGAAATTTTTTTCGATATGGCATCATTTTTGGCACTTGAGTGTAATTATAATATTCGGGTTTCTCGGATCGTGGCTAATTTTTGGATTTCATGGATAATTTGCGAAATATTCGCAGCATGTTCACGAACAAAATGAAAAAGGAAAATTTACTTAAATATTAAAGCGATATTTACAATTTATCCCACTAGCCCGTTGCTTCGTAAGCGAAAATAATAAAAATTTCAATTTGGACCCGACTTTGTAAAAAGAAAATCCCAGCATAAATAAATTTACTAGGTATTTTAGTTGATATTACAAATGAAATTGTAATAATTAAGAAACTTGAAATAATTTCTAAAAAAAACATGTCAAAATTGAGATTATTACAAGTTACCTAATAAATTACTACTATTTCTACGACAAATTCAGTCATTTACATTCTCAAGCCCGATTGTAAATGGTTAATATGATCTTACTTGAGATGGCGATTGTGGGGTCGTTAAGACGCAAAAATGACCTTATTTTAATAAAAATCCAACCCCCTGATTATACATCATGAGCGGTTAATTAACGGAGAATTATAAGACTGTCTGTTTCAGATTTTCCTAACCGATTTTACAATTTTTACGTGATAACTATATTTGAAGTTGGCATACGAACTACTTTTTGGGTTTCCCCGGGTCGAAGTTAATTGCCTGTTAATTTGGTCATGCCAACTTCAACGGGATTTAAATAGCTCAAAAGAAATAATCAGAGTTTCTTTGCTTAGATCAAATTCGGTGACTTAAGGGTTTGAATTCCATCATAATTCTCCACTAATATAAATACATATTACCCTGGCATAGGAAGGCTTACATTAGAATGATAAATCGTAAATTCGAGATGTTTGGAACTTGTGACCACTGAGACTTTTAATCAGGATGATTCAAAGAACATTTTCTCAAATTTTCATTACAATTGACCGAAACCCATGAACCATTTTCCTATGAAAGACTGCGGGGTACATATCGAAAAGGAATGAATTTTGTAGTTACTTACCTAAGTCCTTGGTACATGGCAGAGTAAACAGGGAATCCATATTGATCAGATCCAACTTCGTCCGTGTAAACCCATGTTCCTCCAAGTTGGGGCGCCAATTCGAAAACGGTACAATCATGGCCGCGGGAAAAAGCATGTCTTGCAGACGTTAACCCCGCAGCACCAGCACCTATTATTGCTACACGCATTTTCTTCTGTTTTTAAATCGATTTAAAAATATGCGAAAACAAAAACTGGCGAAAGTTAAAAAGAGATAAAATGGATACAATACACGCTGGATTATTTCGGTTCACTGAAATCTTCCGCACTTGCGAATGTACTTTATAAATACTTTTAATTTTATTTTTAGTTTTAATTTTTAGTATCTATTCTTCGGTAGCAGAATAGACGGTAAATTAGAGCGCCGTGTTAGATACGTACGTCTCTTTAGGAATAGTGCAAACAACAACGAGTTGTTAGAAATCTTAACGAGCCTGATGATACTTTTCTACTTCTTTTTGTTCAAAGTAACTAATAGCTTGTTTACTAATTATGGTTTGTCAATTATTATGTACGTTCGGTCGTTTTATAGACTGAGAGCGACTGATAACTACACCATATAGATAAACGTTCACCCGCTATGTATTTATTTAAATTAATTTATATTTATGTAATGCATGAACATATAAGCAAGAAAGTACACGCTTACGCGGTTCGTTCTTACCAGAATATTCATTCATTTCGTAAGATTGATTTCTTAACCATCAGTAATAACGTTAAATGTAACACACATTTCCGGTAATCAAAAGTGAATTGTGAAACTGAGAGGGAAGAAGTTGTTCTCAATACGTATTAAATACATAATATAACTAATTTTATTTAACAGGAATTTCTCCATTTTTCTAACTCGAGATTCGAGGAGAGGAGTTGTACATTATAAACGGTCTTTTTAATTATTATTTTTTTTAATTTAATTAACCAGAATGCATAGATTAGCACATTAGTATATAGATGTACATACAATGGTTCCCGTTAGTAGAAGACATAATAGTACACGGACTGTTAATATACAAGAAAAAGTTATCTCTAAAACTAAACCTAAAATCAAATACAGTGGAATTTGTTTATTATGACTCCGCCTATATTGACCAACCGCTTAATATGAAGTAATTGCAGTCTTAAGTTTGGTTTCCATATTAAATTCTCTATAGGAAAGTTCGGATATAATGACTCCGTTTAAAATGACATATCGTTTATTATGACTGATTCTCAAGAAATCATATCCGGCTATAGTGATCCAAATGATTAATAATAACATTTTCGCTCATTTTTCTGACTCTTCTTATGTATATTGATATTACAATTATCGTTCCTTTTCTTTTTTTGTTAATAAATACATACAATTTGTAGTTTTTCTATCTCTATTAAACTACATAACTAACCAAAATAGAAAGTTGTTTATTTTCTAAGACTATGCTTTGTATGACGCCCGCTTAGTATGGCATGTTTGTCATTTCCCTTCGATGTTTTTATAAGCGGATCCTACTGTATATATTCTAGTAAAGGGTAGGTAAGAACTCCAGGGCATGGAATGTACATTTTCAAATAGATTCGTCGGAAGTGAATCTTTGTGATTAGCAAAGGTCATGTAAACCGTTTTATCAAAGTTTAGATGTCATTTATTAGCTCTCAGCCAGGTAGCAATTCTGTTCATTTTTATGTTGAGATCAGTTTCGTTAGTTATTCCAGTTAGTGCCAGAGAAGGTAAATTCGGTATTATCGCCATATGCAGTAATTAGTATATATTGAACAACAGCGGGCCAAGGATGGTACCTTGGGGAACCCCTATGTTTATGGTGAGAAATTCGCTGTAAACATTTCTGTATAATTTTTCACTGCGACACTCAATATTATATAGAAAACACAATAAAGCAAAACAAGAGATTAGATTCAAGGGCTAAAAAACACTAAGCAATTCATTGGGCTTAGGGCTTAGAGCAAGTTTAGTGATAGCTTGCTCTGTTCTGGTTTTAACTGCAAAAAATATTGCTGGTATAGTAAGGCTTCTTGTCGTTGCAAACAAAATTATTATTAAAGTGGCTGTAATTTTCTGATTGCGATTAAATGCATTAAAATAGGTAATCAGTACGCGCGTACAGCTGATTTGCTATGTATTTTGATAAGTGTCTTTAATTGAAAAGCTTTTCTCTTAGAGTTTTGCGCTCTTTACGATGATGTACATACAGCAATTCGATGGTTTTTTTACACTCTATATAGTGATTTTATGATTGTCCATAACCTGAGATCTAATCCAAGGATTCTACGCTGTCTTCGTTCTCAAAATAGCGTACTTTGTACTGCAACATGCAATAAGTTCATGCAATTCTATATTTAGGTATACATTCGCATATTTATAAGTGCGCAAATAAAAAAAAATGATAGCAAGACTGGCTTTCTAAGTATATTGAATGAAACCCAAACATTTTTTTTTATTTCGTAATCATTGAAATAAAGTATTAGCATAGTAATTGCAAATCCGCCATAATATCGTATATACTTGTGATTAATAAGGACAGAGTAGAAACTTCAATAAAAATGATTTAGTAATCTTACCGTTAATTGATAAATAATTATAAATTGAACTTTTGTTTATTAGTTTGGCATAATTAGCAAAGAAAGTGCGTGATAATTTCGAAACGGCCAAATCTAACAAATTCTGTTAGTTTTTTATGAAATATATTTACAAAAATACATAACAGAAATAATACAATTTAATAGCAATAGTTAATAAGGTAATTTAATAAAAACATTGATACACATACTTACTTCTTAATATCTTCTCTTTAAAGTCAGTATGTCAGTGTCAGTAATTTATAAAAAAATTTTGGGATAGCTAATAAACTTTCTTATCAATCAATTAAGTTAAAAATTGTAAATAATGTAATCCGAGTAAAAAATTTCGTGATACGGATGATGCAATTTGAAATTACTACAAACCACGGTCAAATACATAAAAAATATTTTAAAGATAAGCAAAAAATATACGTTAATAAAAAAAATAAAAAGAAGAATTTACTTTATATTTTTTCTGTAAGTATACGGAGAATGATGCAATGCTTGTATACGAGGGTGGATTGATAAGTTTCTGGCCTAACCAAGAGATGACGCCACTAGGCCAATTTTGATCATCCCAATTATATTATAGTATTTTACGAAAANTACAAAAAGTAGTGCAGGATCGGGTCGCATTTTAAAAAAAAAAAATTTTATGCTCAGTTAATTTGGAAATTAAAAAAAGATTATTATTAGTTTATGTTTGCGGAAAAGAAAAAGGTAAAAGCGTATAGAATATGGTGTTAAAGGGAGATGATGAAATTACGGTGGAGAGAGAATGATAGAACTGAAGGTATGTATTGAGAAAAGTGGGAAAACAGAAAGCTTTATCGAAGTTAATAACAAGAAAAGAAGATGTTGAACTCTAAGACACCTTCTAAAACATGATGGGTTAGTTAAAGACATAATTAGAAGTTGATTAAGGAATAAACACAGGTAGAAAAAGGCATAGATATGTTTCTGTTCCAGTTTTCGGGAAATACGAAAACGATTTTAATTTTTTTTTTTGCAGTTGCTTGAAAATTATGTATAATGATGATGTAAAAGTGAATTTAATAACATAATAACCTTCTGTTGTAATGACGAAGTACAAGGCAGAATGCTCGAGACAAACAATAAATTAATTATTGTATTATTGCGTACTGCCTATCGAGTTTGCAAGGTTTTTAAAAAAGGTGATGCCCTTTATCACATTCTGTGCATACTGCAACAATAGATTAAAATTTCATTATACAGTTGACCGTGGACAAAACGTATTAGTTTTTTGTTGTTATTATTACGATTATTGTAATATAGGGTTGTTCGGAAAGTCATTTCATTTTTTTTGGGGGAAATGAAAGACAGTTTTCGTATAATAAACAAATACTTTATTAAATTATATATTGACCGTTCTGGTCCAACACCTTTTGCCATCTTTCTGGTAGTAGCATAATTCCACGCTCATAAAATTTTTGGTCTTTGCTGGCAANTCTAAGTCATTACTGTTTCCAAATAGGCTATGTATAATACCAGCTCGGTAACAGGCTAGTATTTCATCTATTTTGAAGTAGCCGACTGGAGCGACAAATTTTTGAATTTGGCAGTAAATTTGCGACAAATTATAGTCCACTTAAAAATAAGAAATATAACTTTGTTTGCTACTTTAATATTTCGTAGAAATGAGAAGTAATTACAAAGAATAGGAGAACACAGGGCATTGTGGTAATTAATAATAAAAAAGAGATATAGGTCGATACGGCTCCTTCGTAAACCCTATATAAAGGGTTAGTTAGAAGCACATTAGAACCAGGAATCGCTCGTAAATAAATTAATTGATGAATTGTTTATCTCGATTCAAAGAAAATATTGACTTGATTCAGTGTCAATAATATTATAATAGCGCGTTATATATTTTTTTGCCTTCACATTGTTTATTGCCAACCCACTTTACTTGCAAAATAAGTTTTAGAAACTTATTGTTATGAATGAATTGACGAAATGGAAGTTTTCATAATACGAAACCACAACATGTTATTTAAAGCAGATAGAAGCTACTTATGCTATAATTTAAAATATTACAATGAACGTCAATAACATTTGTAAAATCAGTAATAATAATAATAACTATTAATACTGCAATAATATTGCATTGATATATTTTTTTTATGAATTGACACTGTAAAATCGAAGGCAGCATATAGAAATCCTCATACTTCTCGTGGCCTTATGTATGACGTACAAATAAATAGTTCAGTTCAGTTATCTGCTCGCCACTAGTGTATACGCGCCCTAAATACTTTATATATTTATGTGATAACAAACATTTTTGAATGAACACTTTTTGTTATGGTTTTCATAAAAAAGCATACCTACAGTTGTCTTTTTTCAGTTTTGCTTTGAAAACCAAGCGAAATAGAAGAAAACTTTATAGAACAATTTTGTATGTGGAGCATGACCTATAAAAAAAACTCCTGACTGTATATGTGTAGTTAAAGGGATATATAATTTGACGCTCAAATCGCCATTTTTTAATCGAGCAAAAAAAAGAGGAGCCCGATTTTGATAATTCTTTTTTTATTGGAAAGGGTATACCCCGAAGTTTGTCCCATATAAATTTGGAAAAAAATTCCAACCCTAAGGGTATGAAAACAGGGGATGATTCTTGATTGTTGTTCACTCACTGATTGTAATATATGACTACGCATAACTTTTGACAGAGTAGTCCAATTTTGATAATTTCTTTTTTTATTGGAAAGGGTATACCCCGAAGTTGGTTCCATATAAATTTGGAAAAAAATTCCAACCTTAAGGGTAGGAAAACAGGGGATTATTGTTAATTGTTGTTCACTCACTGATTGTAATATATGACTACGCATAACTTTTGACAGAGTAGTCCGATTTTGATAATTCTTTTTTTATTGGAAAGGGTACACCCCGAAGTTGGTCCCATATAAATTTGGAAAAAAAATCTAACCGTAAGCGTAGGAAAACAGAGGATGATTTATAGTAAGTAAATAATAGTAGTAGTAATTAATACATTATAGCCACAAAAAATTATGAAATAGAAAAAATTAAACCGCCCAAAAAAACTGAAAAGCAAAAAAAATAAACCTTTTTTTTTTAGAGGTGTTTCTGCTTAACGTTTCCCTAATAATATAATTAATTCACATTTTTGAAATTTCAAAAAACACAGCATACTTTATTTATTTTATTTTTATTTTTACCTATAAAGTGAACTCAGAATTATTACACCTTCATTCTTATTTCATTTCTTGCAATAAGTATAGGTAACTGTGCCTGTTATACCTATCACCCTTGAACGTAAGTTTGCTGAAAGTGTTCGTCATCAACAATTTTATAAACGCTATCACGAATGCCGGTGGTCATTCTTTCTTTTATGACATTTCCAAATATTTTATTGATGACATTTGGAATTCGTGGGATGTTGGCAGTCGATGCTAATTCTTCAAAATATTCCGCCTGATTTTCGGCATTTCCGACATAATGCATATGTCTGACTTGTAATCCTCTTTCTCTTTTCTTTCGTACTTCCTCTTCAAAATCTTTTAAAAGTGCTTCTTTTGGTGGTAGAGGAAAGTGACCGTTCATTGTGCTCAAAAAGAATCGAACCTAAAAATTAAAAATGAATATTTTAATTTTATACAGTAATTAATAAAACAAACACTTTGTATAGAATTGTATTGTAGCTTGTCACCAGTAAGACTAATAAACACAGTGACTGCTTTAATTACTTTTTAGTTAAGATTGTGATACCTCAGCATTGTATGAAAATAAATAAAAGTAAAACAAAAATACTGGTATGCAAAAAGGTTGTTAAAGGTGTATGTTTGGAGCGAGGCGTTGTACGGGTGCGAACCATGGATAGTAGGTGCGGCGGAAAATAAAAGGTTAGAAGCGTTCGAAATGTGGTGTTATAGGCGAATAATGAGGATACCGTGGATAGATAAGATAAGAAATGAAGAGGTATTAGAAAGAATAGGAGAACAGAGGACTCTATGGAAGTTAATAAGAAATAGGCGAGATAGGTTGGTAGGACATCTTCTCAGGCATGAAGGTCTAGTCAGAGACAAATTAAAGGCAGAAACAAGAGTTAGGAGGGGTAGAGGTAGTTAGTAGTTGAATTACTGTTCGCAAATAGTTAAGGATGTTGGTTGTTCCGGTTTTAGGGTAATGCGAAGATTAGCTCAGGATAGGAAAGAGTTGAGGTCTACCAGTCTTAGGACTGACGACCTTATGATGATGATGATGTATACCGCTCATGGTATGCCTATAAGNTTCATTTTTAATTAGTTTTAATGAAGTTTTATTCTTGTCGTCCCGCCACTTTGTGTTCATAACAGAGAATACTCTTTCTGTAAATGCTGAACTGGCCGAAACGGACAGCAAAACTGACACTACTTTGAACAGATTTGGGAAATCAGGTTCCGTAAATATGGCTTGCCATTTTTCTGTGCAATATTGTTGATGTAAAAATACTCTGAATTTCGAATAATCGCTTAAAAAATTACGATGTTTACTGGCCTTAAATAAAGTATTTTTGCGTACTTTATATGTCTTGTAAAATATAACGTATGCAAAGTCGAAATAGAGTACAATATCTTATAATAAAGTACGGGTGGTAACTCTACTTATATCACTGGACTAACGACAAAATTGGTAAAAGTACTTTCATTCAGCGACAAATTATAGCTCTTTTTAGTATTTTTCTAAGTCATTACTGTTTCCAAATAGGCTATGTATAATACCAGCTCGGTAACAGGCTAGTATTTCATCTATTTTGAAGTAGCCGACTGGAGCGACAAATTTTTGAATTTGGCAGTAAATTTGCGACAAATTATAGTCCACTTAAAAATAAGAAATATAACTTTGTTTGCTACTTTAATATTTCGTAGAAATGAGAAGTAATTACAAAGAATAGGAGAACACAGGGCATTGTGGTAATTAATAATAAAAAAGAGATATAGGTCGATACGGCTCCTTCGTAAACCCTATATAAAGGGTTAGTTAGAAGCACATTAGAACCAGGAATCGCTCGTAAATAAATTAATTGATGAATTGTTTATCTCGATTCAAAGAAAATATTGACTTGATTCAGTGTCAATAATATTATAATAGCGCGTTATATATTTTTTTGCCTTCACATTGTTTATTGCCAACCCACTTTACTTGCAAAATAAGTTTTAGAAACTTATTGTTATGAATGAATTGACGAAATGGAAGTTTTCATAATACGAAACCACAACATGTTATTTAAAGCAGATAGAAGCTACTTATGCTATAATTTAAAATATTACAATGAACGTCAATAACATTTGTAAAATCAGTAATAATAATAATAACTATTAATACTGCAATAATATTGCATTGATATATTTTTTTTATGAATTGACACTGTAAAATCGAAGGCAGCATATAGAAATCCTCATACTTCTCGTGGCCTTATGTATGACGTACAAATAAATAGTTCAGTTCAGTTATCTGCTCGCCACTAGTGTATACGCGCCCTAAATACTTTATATATTTATGTGATAACAAACATTTTTGAATGAACACTTTTTGTTATGGTTTTCATAAAAAAGCATACCTACAGTTGTCTTTTTTCAGTTTTGCTTTGAAAACCAAGCGAAATAGAAGAAAACTTTATAGAACAATTTTGTATGTGGAGCATGACCTATAAAAAAAACTCCTGACTGTATATGTGTAGTTAAAGGGATATATAATTTGACGCTCAAATCGCCATTTTTTAATCGAGCAAAAAAAAGAGGAGCCCGATTTTGATAATTCTTTTTTTATTGGAAAGGGTATACCCCGAAGTTTGTCCCATATAAATTTGGAAAAAAATTCCAACCCTAAGGGTATGAAAACAGGGGATGATTCTTGATTGTTGTTCACTCACTGATTGTAATATATGACTACGCATAACTTTTGACAGAGTAGTCCAATTTTGATAATTTCTTTTTTTATTGGAAAGGGTATACCCCGAAGTTGGTTCCATATAAATTTGGAAAAAAATTCCAACCTTAAGGGTAGGAAAACAGGGGATTATTGTTAATTGTTGTTCACTCACTGATTGTAATATATGACTACGCATAACTTTTGACAGAGTAGTCCGATTGTGATAATTCTTTTTTTATTGGAAAGGGTATACCCCGAAGTTGGTCCCATATAAATTTGGAAAAAAATTCCAACCTTAAGGGTAGGAAAACAGGGGATTATTGTTAATTGTTGTTCACTCACTGATTGTAATATATGACTACGCATAACTTTTGACAGAGTAGTCCGATTGTGATAATTCTTTTTTTATTGGAAAGGGTATACCCCGAAGTTGGTCCCATATAAATTTGGAAAAAAATTCCAACCTTAAGGGTAGGAAAACAGGGGATTATTGTTAATTGTTGTTCACTCACTGATTGTAATATATGACTACGCATAACTTTTGACAGAGTAGTCCGATTGTGATAATTCTTTTTTTATTGGAAAGGGTATACCCCGAAGTTGGTCCCATATAAATTTGGAAAAAAATTCCAACCTTAAGGGTAGGAAAACAGGGGATTATTGTTAATTGTTGTTCACTCACTGATTGTAATATATGACTACGCATAACTTTTGACAGAGTAGTCCGATTGTGATAATTCTTTTTTTATTGGAAAGGGTATACCCCGAAGTTGGTCCCATATAAATTTGGAAAAAAATTCCAACCTTAAGGGTAGGAAAACAGGGGATTATTGTTAATTGTTGTTCACTCACTGATTGTAATATATGACTACGCATAACTTTTGACAGAGTAGTCCGATTGTGATAATTCTTTTTTTATTGGAAAGGGTATACCCCGAAGTTGGTCCCATATAAATTTGGAAAAAAANCTTTCTCTTTTCTTTCGTACTTCCTCTTCAAAATCTTTTAAAAGTGCTTCTTTTGGTGGTAGAGGAAAGTGACCGTTCATTGTGCTCAAAAAGAATCGAACCTAAAAATTAAAAATGAATATTTTAATTTTATACAGTAATTAATAAAACAAACACTTTGTATAGAATTGTATTGTAGCTTGTCACCAGTAAGACTAATAAACACAGTGACTGCTTTAATTACTTTTTAGTTAAGATTGTGATACCTCAGCATTGTATGAAAATAAATAAAAGTAAAACAAAAATACTGGTATGCAAAAAGGTTGTTAAAGGTGTATGTTTGGAGCGAGGCGTTGTACGGGTGCGAACCATGGATAGTAGGTGCGGCGGAAAATAAAAGGTTAGAAGCGTTCGAAATGTGGTGTTATAGGCGAATAATGAGGATACCGTGGATAGATAAGATAAGAAATGAAGAGGTATTAGAAAGAATAGGAGAACAGAGGACTCTATGGAAGTTAATAAGAAATAGGCGAGATAGGTTGGTAGGACATCTTCTCAGGCATGAAGGTCTAGTCAGAGACAAATTAAAGGCAGAAACAAGAGTTAGGAGGGGTAGAGGTAGTTAGTAGTTGAATTACTGTTCGCAAATAGTTAAGGATGTTGGTTGTTCCGGTTTTAGGGTAATGCGAAGATTAGCTCAGGATAGGAAAGAGTTGAGGTCTACCAGTCTTAGGACTGACGACCTTATGATGATGATGATGTATACCGCTCATGGTATGCCTATAAGGCAATATACACATAAAATATAAACAGATCTTTAGTGTGACAGTGATTACTGTATGTTTTTGAATCGTAATCCGTTTTTTAAGTCCATTTAACTTCATCGCGTCAAGTTTTTGACATAACTTCAAAAAACCTTATAATTTAATTCCAATTAGCCGTTGACCTAGATAACATATTAAATTCAATAACTTCATAAACTCCTTAAGCCGTTGACGCTGTAATCACATATAATGGCGATCAGTCTTTTTCGACTTAGAGAACAGTGTATTGAAATATTTTGTACTATAACAACAAAATAAACGATCTCGTACACAGTGAAGATATTTCCACAAGTGTTATATATCTATGGATCTACCTTCATATCCAGAGCCGTGTCTCACTTCCGCATATAGGGCACTTCCGCGCGATGACGGACAACGTAGTAAGATATTATGGGGATGATAGGTGTAATATATTAGATATAACAGGCTTAATGGGCATGAATTATGAAGTTTATTCAGGATATATTAAAAAGCTGATGTAATGGAGTTAGGTAAATGGACTTCGGACTTCACCCTCAAAGTTAGGACGTTTTTGTGGTTTTATTATTGCCTCCAGGGAGCACAAATAAAGGTTACTCTTATGTTTACTAATAAGATAGGAATTTAGTAGACGTTTCGATACCTGCAATTCGAACATGGGAACAACAGCTAATATCGCATGAAGTCCTATAAAGGCCATTGTTGGACGTTCAATGTTTATAATTCCTTTGTATAATGGTCGAACCCATTTGTTTTCTTCAACGACTATACCACATTCTTTGGTCAAAAAAGGATAGCGATAATCGTATCCTAAAAAGACGAAAGTATTTCAGATTAAATACAACTGGTCAAGTGCGACGAGGTCAAGCTCAAGTATTACGGAAAATTCTAATAAGTAGTAAAACAATTTAATTAAGATCCGGTCAGAAATTGCCTTTCTCAATTGTTTATTTTAAAGAAAAGTTTTTAAATACGTTTAAATAGAAAAGCAACGCTGTTAAATTATTGTTAAAATGACAGAAAGATTAAATTATCTTTAAGAGGCACATACTTACGTTAATGATACAACTTAACTGATTATAACTGCAATGTAATTTACAAACAAAAACAAATAATATCTAGTTAATGAAAGTTAATTATGTAGGTAGATATTATGTCAACTTATTTCTTTTGAAGAGCTGGTTCGATTTGTTCTGTGATTTATCGAGATTGTCTTTGGCGTGCTGATGTGATTCAATAAGATCGAAATAGCGATTCACGTCCGATAGTTACTCATCAAGATTTTCCATTGCTCTTAAAAACAAATAACGTTTTACCTGTGCAATAGACAATAGCATCAACGTTTTCAACGGTTCCATCAGTGAATTCCACGCTGTTTTCATTAATTTTAGCAATTCGGGGTCGATCTATAAGGTTGTCTGGCATAAAGGGTCGCTTTTTCATGCTATGACTCACAAATACCTAATGCAAATACTGTAATTATTTTAATAGTTGTAACAGCAATATTGTAAAAAATATATTCGGAAAATTAGAGAAAAAAGTAAACTAATAGAAGCTTGGATGAAAGCAGTAGGTATCAAAGAAGTGAATTCCGGAATAAAAATTTGTTCACGTCATTTTAATGCACATGATTATATTTCAATATTGCAATAATGTGTTTGCAACGTTCTCTTAAATCGGATTTGCACTTGCAAGTCATTGATATGATACTGCTTAAATCACCCATTATATAACGTGAATCACTTTTTAAATCCGAAGTTTGTAAAAAGTAGGCAGTAAACTTGACGGAATTTGAAGGCTAACTTCCGGATTTGTTATTTCCGAATTTTATAATGTGATTGGCATTAAAAACACGCTCACCTTCAACGAAATTTCCTTTCCGAGGCTTTGTGTCAGCCCAATCACATATTGTGTCAATACTTATCATTTTATCGTAATTTAAAAACTTGAAAATTGCGCGGTACACTATAGGAACCACGATAAATTTTCCCTAATCGGCGCCATGTTTTTAGGCTCCTCCCATTTGACGGATCCCAATAGTGTTCGAACAACAGTGATACAAATAATCTGATGTAATTTAAATAACTGTTGTTGTTAAATAAATTAAGATACTTGTTTAATGAGATTTGTTAAAGAAATGGTTAAACTAAAATATTCGTTAGTATAGGTACTGACCGTGTCTGTAACTTGTCTGATTACACGTGCAATATCTTGTCCTGAAAGTCCGTACCCCACAACGACAGTTTTCTTACCAGAAAGAATCTGAGGTGATCTAAAGTCATGGCTATGTACTTGGATTCCCTTAAACGTTTCCCTTCCGGGAATATTAGGAATATATGCGTGACTATAGTGTCCACTGCAAATCAATATAGCATCATAAACAGATTCTGAGATCTCTTTCGTTTCGAGGTTCTTCGTGTTGACGTTCCATTGCGAAGCACCTACAGGTTTTACTTTGTCAACTCGGGTGTTAAACTGCAAAATTCAGTAATAATTCTTAAATTAAGAATATACGGTTCCAAAAATAATTTCAAAAAAATTAACAAGGTTCAAGATCATTTCTGTTGTCTGGGAAAGATTTTGAAAACAGCATTTTCTCTCTCAGAAGCTAAAGCTTTGAAATTTGTCACTTTTGCAAATCAAGTGCCCGACATGGAGTACTTGTGTTTATTTTATAATAATTTTTGCATTTTTTGATTTTTAAAGTTGTTACTAAACTGTAATTATTACTTACTTTGATATGACACTTTAAGGAAAATTTATCTGCATATTTTTCAAAGAAATCGAGGACTTCTTCTGCTCGTATATAAGAAGTGGGCATGTTTGTCGGATAATGGAAATCGGAAACTTCCATTAACTCCTTGGGAACATTTGTTCTATCAATCAAGAAAAAATTAGCATTTTAGTAAACTATAATTATTCAAAAGCTGTCCAAAAAATCTTTAAAGTTGTTTGATACAGTCAAACAGTCTGTTGAAAAAGAATATGACCCTAATCATCATCATAAGGTCGTCAGTCCTAAGACTGGTAGGACACGCACCTCCACTCTGTCTTATCCTAGGCTAATCTTCGCATTTCCCTAAAAATAGAACAACCCACACCCTTAACTATTCGTGAACAGTGACCTAATCTAAGTCTACCTCTACCCCTCCTAACTCCCGTTTCTGCCTCTAATATGTCTCTGACTAGACCTTCATGTCTGAGAAGGTGTCCTACCAACCTATTTCGCTTATTTCTTATTGACTTCCACAGAGTCCTCTATTCTCCTATTCTTTCTAATATCTCTTCATTTCTAACCTTATCTATCCACGGTATCCTCATAATTCACCGATAACACCACATTTCGACCGTTTGTAACCTTTTCTTTTCCGCCGCGCCTACGGTCCATGTTTCGCACCCGTACAGCGCCTCGCTCCAAACATACACCTTTAACAACCTTTTTCGAATTTCTTAATTAACCGTTCGCCAGCATAGAAGTGACTTCTTTTTATTAAAGGCGACACGACCCTGCGCTATCCTCTGCTTTATATCCCTACTACTCCTTCCATCCTGACTTATCTGACATTCTAGATACCTAAGCTCAGCCACTTCTTCTAATTTATCGTCTCCTTTCTTTATATTCGCTCTTTCCCTACGTTTTCTTCCCTTGCATACCAGTATTTTTGTTTTATGATCCTAATAATAAACAACAATTTATTTCGACAAACATGGGATTTGCTTTTTCAATAGGACATCATTAAAGGTTTATTATCTCCCAATTTCCACCCTTGCAGGTTTAAATTTAAATAGTAAAACCATTAAGATATAACCTATTCAATAAAAAAAAGGAATTATTAGAATCGGTTTACAGTTAGCGAAGAAATCGCAAAAAGTGTTGTCTTCATACCTGACACCTTCACCAAATATGAAACATTATTTATTGTATGAAAAAATAATGATAATAGTGTATATTATTAATTGAAAATTGAAAATTTGTATTACTAATCATATGGTTTCTCGAGTTTTTGGAAAATTTTGATAGTTATTCTCTGGTTAGAAATTGTAATTGGAAAGATCAATAGTACTTTTTTATAATTTGTTTATAAAAAAAGTACTTTTAAATACTGTTACCTCAGATTCTTGTACATTGCCGAATGAACAGGAAAACCATCTTGGTCAATCCCTGTTTCTTCCGTGAAAACCCATGTGCCACCTACGGAAGAACCTTGTTCAAAGACGTCAACGTTAAAGCCTTCTGCGAGGCTACATCTTGCTGCTATCAATCCCGCAGGTCCAGCCCCAATTATGGCAATATTTTTAGTATCTGCTTTCTTCGAGCACGAACTCATTTTAGAACTTTTTGTAGTCATTCCTGTTAAATTTCAACTAACATAAAAGCAGCTATCTCAGTTATTATTTTAGACTGATCTATTAATTTGCATTGTCACTTTGTTATCTAGAAAATGTTAACAATACAGATAACTTTCCATTGATTCGTTATAGTAAATAATTAACCAATCAATAATAAATAATTATTGCGTAATCTATTTCTTGGTCTATCAATAATTATAAAGAAAAGAGATTAAAGAAAATACTCTATTTTATATGATATATCGTGCGAAGTAAATTCGGATTGGCGTGAAATGAAATGTGCTACCTAGAGGTTTTTTTTAAAAGAAAATTTAACAAAAAAAAAACTGAAACCTTACCACTATAAATCAATGAATTTCTCACAATTTGCTGACTGCCTTAACAATTTTCAAGTGAACATATTTATATTCAAAGCGTTATCTATTTATCAACGAATTGTTTAAATAAAATAACCACAAAAACGATAAAGAAGATATTATAATAGTAATAGATCAACAAAAATTTTGGGGAAAAAGTAAAAATATTTTCTTTGTTTTCCAAAGCCACAAACCTTATTCCGTTATTGTTTAATTGTTTGGTAGAATCTGATTGAAAGTACGTAAAATGGATATAATTGACGTTGAATTGATTTATAAGAGGGTTTTTTTCTGGATAAAAAATATCCCACGTCCTTTTATGTACCCCTGATAATGTGTCGACAAAAATTCATGATGATCAATTGAGTAGTTAAGGCGTGAAATCGACCACATAGAACTAATTCTTTTCTATTCCTCGGGAACAATATTTTTTCTTGATAAAAGTTACCCTATGTGTCTTTCTGTACCCCTGACAAAGTGTCTACAAAATTAACATAAAATTAATTTTTCTCTTCTTCAGGAACTGTTTTTTTTGTGGTTAAAAGGTATCCTACGTCCTCGTCTGTACCCCTGACAACATTTCGTGATGATCGATTGATTAATTACGACGTGAAATCGACCACATACAACTAATTTTTTTCTATTCCTCGGGAACAATATTTTGTCTTGATATAGCATTAGTTAGTATGTAAAATACTAACAAATTGAACAACGTGAATTTCAATTTTCAATTGAAGAACATAACTAATACGAATTATTATCGATAATACTACTAATAGTACTACTGATAAGAGTTGTTTTCTATATTTAAATATGAAAATCTGCAAAGTTTGATGTTTTTACTTAACAATACTTAATATACCTGTTGTATTTTTTTTAAGTACTTACATACCTACGAGGGTGGATTGATAAGTTTCCGGCCTAACCAAGAGATGACGCCACTAGGCCTACCTTGAGGTGACATTCTATAGTACCATCCTTGGATAGCTTGTAGCTATAGTTTCAGCCCGATCTCCTTGCTAGTGTAGGTTTGACAGCACGCTGAACAAGACGCCTCTGTGGTTTTCGTAAAAATGGAAAAGCAGGAAAATCGTGCTGTCATCAAATACTTTTATTTGAAGGGGTTAACGCCGAAGGAAATTAAAAAAGAGATGGACTCAACACTGGGGACATCCTCCCCGTCATATTCAACCGTTAAGCAGTGGGTTTCCGAGTTTAAAAAGGGTCGTGTGAGCACCTCTGATGGGCCTCGCTCAGGACGCCCCGTTGAGGTCACAACTCCAGATATGATCGAAAAAATTCATCAAATAGTGCTGGGAGACCGCAGATTGAAAGTGCGTGAGATAGCTGAGACCTGTAAGATGTCATATGAACGTGTGCAACATATTTTGCACCAACATTTGCATATGGAAAAGCTCTGTGCAAGATGGGTGCCGCGTTTGCTAACAGTCGACCAAAAATTGATTCGAAAAAACATTTCTACCGCAAATTTGTCATTGTATAAGCGTAATCCAAGCGAATTTTTGCGTCGATTCGTAACCGTTGACGAAACGTGGGTCCACCACTACACTCCTGAAACCAAAGAACAGTCTAAACAGTGGATTGGACCAGGGGAACCAACTCCAAAGAAGGCAAAAACAATTTTTTCGGCGAACAAGGTTATGGCTACTGTTTTTTGGGATGCAAGAGGTATTATATACATTGATTACCTTGCAAAGGGTAATACTATCACTGGTCAATACTACGCAGACTTATTGCAACGTTTGAGCCACGAGGTGAAAATTAAACGACCTCATCTGGCGAAGAAAAAAATCTTGTTTCATCACGATAACGCACCAGCGCACACGTCAATCGTTGCGACGGCTAAAATCAACGATCTAAAGTTTGAATTGATGCCGCACCCTCCTTACTCTCCAGACCTAGCCCCGAGTGACTATTTTCTGTTCCCTAATCTCAAAAAATGGCTTGGCGGTAAGAGATTTGCGGACAATGAAGAAGTAATCGAAGCTGTAAATGGTTATTTTGAGGAGCTTGACGAATCAGTCTATAGAGATGGCATTAATAGACTGGAACACCGCTATGAGAAATGTATCAGCCTTGGAGGAGATTATGTTGAGAAATAAAAAAAAAAAATTTTTAAAAACCTTGTTTTTCTTGGTCAGGCCGGAAACTTATCAATCCACCCTCGTATATCATATTAATTTGTTATTTATTTTTCTTTCAGATGTCGACTAAATGTAGAGACGTAGTGGGTAAGTGATTTGCATGGTTTTTTTAGTAAGAAAGCTTTTAGCGCTTTATTCCACAAATTTTTAGCAAGTACAGTACAATTTCAATTTCGAGGTGGTAATTATTCAAAAATGGTAAGTACCATTACGACTCGTATAATGTACTTAATTCTAGTGGTTTATAAGAAAGTTTCAGGTATCTTTTGTTATGTCTGGAGTATTCGGGATATTCGGGTAATTATTAGAATTTTTCGTCGCGAACTTTTTTATTGTGCCTTTTGTGAATACGAGTGTCCGGGAGTGACGTTTAGTATTCGCGCGCCGTATTGGTCGTGTCGCATGTAATACAGCTCGGGTATACGGGAATGTCGGGATCATCACCGGGAAAGCTGTATTAGTTATTTCGCGCGTCGCTATCGTACCAAAATGTGTCCCTAAAGTAGGGAACAGTCGGGAGTGTCCGTGAATTTCGGTTTTTTTTTCCGGCGCCGCTATGATTTGGAATCGGGAATCGGCAATATGTTTATCGGAATTCTGGAGCACAGCCATCTAAGAACTCAACAAGGATTTTCTGCAATAGAGATTCTGAACGACCGGGATTTGGAATTTTGACTTATCTTCGTATAGATCGTCTCTTAGGATTCAAAGTAAGATGCATGTTTTTTTAAATACGCCCTCGAGGGGTTCTACCCTTCATTAGTGTAAGTACTGTACTTGCTAATAAAATTATTTTTTGGGATTAATTAGAAGGGTGTTATATCCACGTGCGCCATTAACAGAGATGTGATTTATTTGAAATACTTGCACTTAAAATGCAAATACAAAATAAAAATACCTATTTTGCAGCATTTTGTTTGTTTAATTTTAATTAATCTAAAAAAACTACAATATTTAAAAAATTAGCAAATGTCTGCAAGGTTTTCGTAAATAATATTTTATAGTTAAGTAAATATAGAAAATTAAATAGGTACACTACAAAAAAGTATTTATTTGAGTAGATACGTATTTTGCATTTATCATTTAAAATACAAAAGGGAAATGTATTTTGTATTTTACAATTGAAATAACAAATCAAGTATTTGCATTTTATACTTAAATACTTTTAAAAAACCATTTTGCACATCTCTAGTCATTACCTACTATCCAGTAGTTGTTAAACCATATGAATGGGCCGTGAAAAAGGGTTGGAAGATAAGTGCAGTGAAAGTGACGTGTTTTTCATTGAGTTGAAGAAGAACCAGATGCATGGTACGTAGTATGTATATTTATCTACAGAATTCAAATACTATTTGTGTATTCAAAGACTTCATCCGAGTCCTGTATCCTTTAGGAAAAATGTATCCATTATCCGGTCCTTTGTTGTTGCGATGTGTTATATTATAAAAAATATTTTCTAACGTATTATTTTTTATTATTTCATGCCTAATACCTACTTGTTGATACTACTTAGATAAAAATTGTTTACATTTTTTTCTATTTTTTTTATTATTGTGGTTGATAGCTCTCATTAAAATCAGTAAGTTCAACAAAGATAAATAAGAACATTTTTATTACGGTATACATATTCGCTATTTTGTTTTGTATTATCAGTAGTACCCTACATCTTTCCAAAATTTCATCCTAACAGCTTCGGGATTTTTTCCAACGGTAATATTTTCTCCAATATCAAGAAAGTTAACATCGTCTTCTCCAGTCACTGGCAACCACTTTACATTTAGAATGTTTTCATCCGGTTGTTGTGGATTTGGATTTCCGGTACGCGCAAAAGTCGTCCACAACTTTGTCATTCGACCAATTGTTATATCTTCTATACTAAGATGCCTCGGCTTCTTTACCAATTTTGTTGTAAACAAATATCCTAGTTCGTCACAGTGTGCCACACCTAAATGTTTAATCTAAATTATTCCTGGAAAGGTTAGAAATGAAGAGATATTAGAAAGAATAGGAGAACAGAGGACTCTATGGAAGTCTAGTCAGAGACATATTAGAGGCAGAAGCAGGAGTTAGGGGGGTAGAGATATACCTAGGTTAGATTACTGTTCGCAAATACTTAAGGATGTGGGCTGTTCTAGTTTTAGGGAAATGCGAAGATTAGCTCAGGATAGGAAAGAGTGGAGGTACGTGTCCAACCAGTCTTAGGGCTGACTACCTTATGATGATGATGGTTCCTGGGCATACAATCAAAGGTAGAAGTAACTTCTATGCTCGCGAACGGTTAATTTAAAAATTCGAAAAAGGTTATTAAAGGTGTATGTTTGGAGCACGGCGTTGTACGGGTGCGAAACATGAACAGCGGGCACAGCGGAAAAGAAAAGGTTAGATGCCTTCGAAAAGTGGGTAGAAAAGGTTAGAAATGAAGAGGTATTAGAAATAATATGATAACAGAGGACTCTATAGAAGTCAATAAAAAATAGGCGAGATAGGTTGGTAGAACACCTTCTCAGACATGAAGGTCTAGTCAAAGATATATTAGAGACAGAAACGGGAGTTAGGAGGGGTAGAGGTAGACCTAGATTAGACTACTGTTCGCAAATAGTTAAGGATGTGGGTTATTGTTCTAGTTCTAGGGAAATGCTAAGATTAGCTCAGGATAGAAAAGAGTGGAGGTACGTATCCAAACAGTCTTAGGACTGACGACATTATAATGATGATACAAACAAAGACACTGCAAATGATATACCATTACAAAAAAAATTATTCACCTGGAAATTTAATGTTAGCATAATTCTTATACCAATTGAGACCAGCGTCGACGGAAAATCTGTAGAAAAACACCGGAAATGACGATGCTTTGGCTATTTCTGTAGCGGCTACGTGTAAACCCCTTAAGAAAAATACGTCTGTATAAAGCTAAAAGGATTTAAGTCCTGTTTTAACATCGCACCTATTAAAAAGTAAGTATTTTTTTATATATACGTATGTAATTACCTGCAATAATGAATCAACGTCTTGATTAGAAGGTTCATCATCACCAAAATAAAACTCTTTTATCTTCCTCGCAGTTTCTATTGATTTAGCAGTGGCTCTCGAATGATTTAAATAATAGGGTACGTATCTTTCAAAGTCAGTGGGCATGGGAATTTCTTGGTTCCTTATCGTTGCACGGGCAACCATCAACATGCCTTCTCGTGTAACGTAACCCACCATAACAGGAACTTGGTTAAAATTGCCAGATCTTATTAATTCTATAGCGATTTTAGTTATAAATGCTGAAGGATCCGATGGATCTTCTATTACTGGACCAAATGACCGTATTACGTCTGTTCTATAATCCTATGAAAATACATATATGTGGGTAAGAACTAAACACACTATATAATCTTTTCAAGATTGATATGTTGATGTTTGAAATATTTTGATGATCAATCGAAACCAGCTTTTATTATTCCAGGTAAGAAATTAATTGCCTAATAGATTCTACTGAAGGTGACGAAAACCCTTTCATAGATTAATTTGTCATAGTAGAGATAAAAAAACAAAAGATAATTTTGATTGTTCCCATACGGTTGTGTGTTCTTTACTTTCCAAATGTATAAAATATATTTTGATATGTAATGTACTGATTTTTTTTAGCTTTAAATTACTATTACAATTACCTAGGAAAAACTCTCACACTGTTAGGTTACTACTACGTGACCAATTTTTTACCCCCTCCCTCGGCGACCACCCAATACTCCCCTTCCCCTATAATTTTCACGTAGTGATTCATTAATACAGTTTTAAATCATTTTCTGCAACCAGAAAGTTTTGAATATGACTCGAAAAAGTGCGAAATTTCCCTAGAGGATATTAATTACGTGACGAATACCTAAGCCCCCCCTCCCTATGACAAACCGTGATATTTTTGGAGACTCCCTACGCCGTGGAAGGGGCACGTAGTATGGGTACGTTCCCTTAGGTGAAAAGTACTAAATTAGTACAGGTAGTATCTTCGCATAAATATGTTGGTAAATATTCGTATCTAGTGGATTTTTTTGCACAATCTTATTCAAAATAGCCCCCCCCCCTTAAACAAATCTGTATATTGCCAAATCTAAAAGTGGGTCAAAATTTGTTTAAATAATTTGCAATAAATATTCGGGATGTATAAATTGTTTAAAATTCGATAAAACGCAATAATGGTAATTTTCAACCTTGAAAAACAAAAAATAGTTATCAAAATGTTAAATATTCTTCAAACATCCCTTAATAAATTCCAAAACGTTTTGGGCGATTATGTTATTGCAACTCTTTGTTTCTCAATTGTTAATTAAATTTTACCATCCTGATGCATTTATAACAACTAAGTGAAGATGAACAAAAAGAATTATTTAAAGGGTACTATTTTGAATAAAACTGTGAAAAAGAAACGACCAACAATATTTCCTCCAATGCATGCAAAGATTATTGCTAGATTACTAGGCTGTCGTGCGATAATAATTGTTCAGGTATTACCTACCTATATTTTACTAATAGATAAACGCGATATAATCTAAGAAAACTGACCCATCGTCTTTTTTTCAAAATTTCAAAAGGTTTCCATATATGCAATTGTTGTTTTTTTTGTACACTTACGTCGTCAATTTTTTGTAACATCTGAAACACTTCATCTGTACTGGCGTTGTTCAAAACATCTAAAATCTCTTTTTCACTTTTATCTTTATGTCCGATAGCATCAGCAATTCTCTTAACCCCTTTGACTCCTAAGGATCTCGTGTTCAGGGCACAACCACTTTGCATAATTGCCCTATGAAATAATCCTACCGGAAAAATCATATACGCAATCAACAGGAACTCCTGGTAAAATCTTAATGATAGTCCCATTCCACCCCGGATCTTTATTTTAATATTACTAAGTATCCATCTCAGTTGTGTAGAGACGCGTGTTATTATGTAAAACCTTTAGAAGAAGGTTTTACAAACTATTAAACCATTATCATTTACCAATAATATATACGCACGTTTAAGGATGTTTGGTAGGTATGTCAAAATGCTACGAGACAAATAAAAATTTGGAAGAACGTTCCTCATTCAATTCTAAAACTCCTGTAAAAATTACAAATCGCTAAACCGTTAAAAAGTTATTGAAATTTTAAAAAATTGTAATTTTACACGTCATTTTACGGAGATTCGTTAACCGAACAGATTAAATTTATTTTTATTAACAGAAAAAAAGCTACCAGAAATTTCAAACTTTTATAATAAGTAACTTGAACTCTGGAGAATCACTTTAGCGTAAGGTTATTCAAATTCACTAAATGGTTATCGAGGAAAAAATGAAAAATTAGCTGAAAATCTCGTTTTTACTTGATAATATAATGATAATATTTATAATTGTCTGAAATAAATGCAATTTTAAAGTTTTAATTATTATTTAAACATATTAAAAAGTTTTACGCTCATTATTAATAGAGATTGAAACTAAATATTTTTTTGTTTCGAAGTTGAAATCAAGGCATATTCACTGCCAAAAGTCAGTTAAAAATTTTCCATATTATTCGTTATTTCTTATTTTATTCAAAGTTTTTGGTCAAATTCCAAATTTTCTCTCAAACCGTATACTTTTTTTTAGTATAGATAGTATTTATTTACCTCATGATATGCTGCAAAACCTAATTAATCACGAATTTCTAATTTTATGTACTCTTGTCTCCGATTGTACCTCCCAAACATCCTCAAATAAAATAAATATTAAAAAAACTTTATTTATCTACATGTATATAAAAGAAAGTTTGTGATCAAATTTGTATTTACATACTTGAAACTTAGTTTTAATACTCTTGGATATAATTAATCAAACATTAATTTTAAATTTAAACTTATAGGAGCGTTGTTTATTAGAGAATCTGTTTTAACCACAAGTAGCACATCTCTATAAAATACTTTAGTGTATGTTTAATTAAGCAAGTTTCATAATAACCGGTTTATATTCATATGTTATAAGACTTAAATTCCAATTATTTTCATAAAAGACATTCAAACAAAAATTCGGGACGGAATTGTACTATACATTTGACCATACCCATCTATTATTTTGTACCTTTTGCCAAAGGTGACAGTAACAAGAAATTAACTGCCCATCCCCCCGAACTCTCCCCAAAAATTGTAACATTGTTAGGGTTGCCTCCGAATACTGCAATATTTTCCTGGACCCATTTTAAAGCTAGGACCATGTCTTTGAGTCCCGCATTTCCAGGAATGTCGAAGGTGGAATCTTCAAGACTCAAAAATCCTTTCCGAAATTATTCAATTAATACCACTTATTTTTCTTTAATTAATAATATTAATTTTATATGAACTATTATATTTTTTGAATTTTTGTGCACCAAAACAAATTAACATACCAAAAAGACCAAGACGATAGTTGATTGTGACAACAATGACATCTTCACTTAAAAGATAATCAGGTCCATACAGATCTGTGTTACCCGATCCACATGTGAAACCTCCACCATGAATCCAAACCATAACTGGTTTATTACTATTCTCATTATTTTTTGGTAACTAAATTTTAAAAGGATAATTACTTAACAACTTATGGGCACCTGTAAAATACTTTCAGGGGTTGGAGTAGTCGGAAAATGTAACAATTCTTATAAAGTAATAGGTGATACAAAAAGAATTTTATTCACAACTTATACTTATTATAATGAAATTATTTTCTGAGCTGAATGGTCGTGGTGTTAGACTCTCACTCCCTATACATTGGTTGGCGTTGTCCTTCCAACGTTTCGCCCTTAATTGCGGCCGACATTAACAGGAATTATTTATAGCCGCATTACTTCCCGTCCTAATTAAACTCATCAAGGCTCAGTAATAATCTCTGAGGATGTCTGACACACTCGTTGACGCAACGTTGGAAAAACAGGTCAAACCGAAGCATCATTTAGGTAATCGGACTCTTTTTCATTTTTACACAGAATTATTTTGTACCTCATTTATGTAAACATTTAAGAATAAACAATCTTCTGAACCATGTATTTTCCTTGTTACCATATCTCTTTGATAGCAGATGTTACCTTCTTTAGTGGCATCTAAGATACCTTCCCATGGGTCGGCTGGTTGTGGAGCCTAAACCACAAAAAGAAAATAGTAATAGGCGCATATACATAATAATAATTATGCATTTATTTAAACAATATTTTCGATTATGCACTGAAATAATATCGTCGCGAAGTGTTGCCTATGGTTAGAACTCTTTCTAATCAGCGAACTCTGACGACCGCTGATACCCTAGCCAAAAGTTCTGATCCCACCCTCGAATTACTTATGAGGTATTCTGTAAAACTTTTATTAGTTCTTCGCGCAACTTCCGTTGCCTGCTGCGCGCGCACTTTTTACATGCAATGCATTAAAAGAAGTATAACTTCATAAAAGTACTTTCGACGATTATGCACGTCAGTGCGCTACCTTCATAACTATGCTTAAATAATTATGAGTACCCAAGTATAATACCTTAGTTTTGAAAAATAGTAAAACTTTTATGTACGCCTCTGTCATAAGAATGTCGGAAACATTCTATTAATACACTGTATGTTATTTCATTATTTCTACTGTTGTCGATTTACACTGTGTTTAAAATTATCTATGATGCTTAACCTCAAAATTTTCTTCTAAATTGTATGTTACTATACCAATTTATTTCACTATTCGCTTACCTTAAATCTAAGATCTCCAAGGGGCGGTTTTGCGTAAGGTATTCCTTGAAAACTATAGTACATACCCCCGTTAACATTTTGAATTTTTTTGCCCCGAAGTAACCCCTGTCTTACTTTAGCTGTCGGTTCTTCCATTCTATAGACGAAAATTAAAAAATGTCAATAGATAATCAACGTTGTAATTTAAAATTTAAATAAATTCACATCTCTTTATTTACATAAATTTAAATTAGGGATTTTGCTTGCTGATGAAAGTAACAATGTCGTGAGTGATATATAAACGTTATTCAACATTTGTTATTCTGTTTCATAGATTCAAACTTAAGATTGTTACGCTTATCTCCGTTATCTGGTTATAAATAAAAATTTAGTTTGTTTAAAAGTCACGCCAAGTTTCTACAGGGTGTACCAAAAATTTTATGTATACTTCGATTTTGTTTTCGATTTTTACTAAAAGTAACTGGCATAATCTAGTTTATCCTAGTAAAGGAAAAACTAACAAAATTATATATTTAAAGACGCTCATAATTAGGGTTGCCACCTTTTCAGGCTTTACATAAAGTATTTCTCGACTAAATGGTTAAAAAAAAAGTACTCAGGATAAAAATATTAAAGACGCTCATAATTAGGGTTGCCACCTTTTCAGGCTTTACATAAAGTATTTCTCAACTAAATGGTTAAAAAAAAAGTACTCAGGATAAAAATATTAAAGACGCTCATAATTAGGGTTGCCACCTTTTCAGGCTTTACATAAAGTATTTCTCGACTAAATGGTTCAAATTAAAAAAACTTTATT